GCAGAGAGTGTTCCACAAGCAATTTTGGTTACAAATAGGAGACTGAGAGGAGGTACAATAGCCATCTTCAAATATCTCAAGGGCAGATGTTAAATTATTTTTGTATGCCACAACTGCTGCTCGTATTTTGTTAGCTAAAAAGTGGAAAACCCAAGAATTACCAATGATAGAAGAATGGCAGATGAAGATGATGGATTTTTCAGAGCTAGCCAACCTAACCGGAAGAGTCCGCGACCAGAAGGAGGAGGAGTATCAGGAAGAGTGGATTAAATTTAATGATTATTTAGTTAAATATGTTAAGTTAAATTAACTGAAAACAGCTTGCAGATACTTAATTGTTGCTAGTGAATATTTATTTAGAGAGCCAGTGTGGTGCAGTGGTTAAGAGTGGTAGACTCGTAATCTAGTGAACCGGGTTCATGTCTCCGCTCCTCCACATGCAGCTGCTGGGTGACCTTGGGCTAGTCACACTTCTCTGAAGTCTCTCAGCCCCACTCACCTCACAGAATGTTTGTTGTGGGGGAGGAAGGGAAAGGAGATTGTTAGCCGCTTTGAGACTCCTTCAGGTAATGATAAAGCGGTTTATCAAATCCAAACTCTTCTTCTTCTTCATGATATATTGGTATATTGCAATGTTTGGCTGGTGATGTATCACGATGTTGAAAACCAGACATCACCCAGCTGTGTGACGAAAGAGAGATCGCACAGGTTGCCTTGTGGTTAATCTGTGGGTGTTGAGTGGTGTCCATAGTGCTTTTGGACTGTTAGGGCAGAAGGCAGGGAGACTAACCTTAGGAGGATACAGAAGATACAACCCCTTGATTGGTTGTAAGTAACCGTGTAGCAGGTGGAGATGGGCTGAGCTTGATAGTCCCATCTGCCCAGGCTGCTGGAGCTTGCAAACTTTAGAGTTCCTCAGAGCTTTTCTTAAAAGATGGGTGATGTGCATTCCGAGATTTTCCATTTCATATGAGGGCTTCTCCAGCCCAGCGCTCAGAAGATACTGTATTGGTACTCAATATCTGCCCGATGAACACACCTCTGCTCTGATGAGAGGCAACCAAGCTCAACCAAGAACAAATTGAATTATCAGGGTGACAGCGTCATTTCATTGTAGCTCCTCACAGCTGCCTTTTGTGCTCAAATCCAACATGGCAGGAAATGCCCACCAATCAATTATGCCTGTTTTTCAGTACACAGCAGGCCTAGCCAAGAGGCGACAATGGACTTTGAAGAAGTCCCATTGAAAGGCCGCTAAATGGTTCTGAACGTGTTCCAATTGCTCGCAGATTAAATTACGTTGAAAGTCACACACACACACAAAAATGCAAGGGAAATGGATGTATAAAGAGCTGCTAGGAATATAAAGCTTTTTTATCGCAGAAAACTGATAAATTACTTTTGACATCCCGGGGGCGGGGCGAGGTCTGTTTTCACAGTGGCACTGTGTTTGTCTTTGTCGCAGAGATTCAAGTCTCGGAGTTCATTCCCAGGGCAGAAAGTTAGATCTCAAGGACATCAGCTAGCCGACCACACCTGTGGTCTAATGTGCAGGTATGCTAGACTGGCAAATGGGCCTGGGGCAGCTACTGCACATACAAACCCAATACATCTGAAGAAGTGTGCATGCACACGAAAGCTCATACCAATAACTAACTTAGTTGGTCTCTAAGGTGCTACTCTAAGGGATGCGGGTGGCGCTGTGGGTTAAACCACAGAGCCTAGGACTTGCCGATCAGAAGGTCGGCGGTTCGAATCCCCGCGATGGGGTGAGCTCCCGTTGCTCGGTCCCTGCTCCTGCCAACCTAGCAGTTCGAAAGCACGTCAAAGTGCAAGTAGATAAATAGGTACCGCTCCAGCGGGAAGGTAAACGGCGTTTCCGTGCACTGCTCTGGTTCGCCAGAAGCAGCTTAGTCATGTTGGCCACATGACCCAAAGGCTGTACGCCGGCTCCCTCAGCCAGTAAAGCGAGATGAGCGCCGCAACCCCAGAGTCGGTCACGACTGGACCTAATGGTCAGGGGTCCCTTTACCTTTACCTTTAAGGTGCTACTGGAAGGAATATTTTTATTTTATTTTATCTTGTTTAAACCCAATACAGTGGTACTTCAGGATGCAAACTGGATCCATTCCGGAGCTCCGTTCACATCCAGAAGCAAACGTAATTAGCGACGGCACATCTGTGCACGCACGCATCACTTTTCGCCGCTTCTGCGCATGACGTCAAGATGTTTGAGCATCTGCGCATGCACGAGCAGCGAAACCCGGAAGTAACACAATCTGTTACTTCTGGGTTGCCGCGGAGTGCAACTCGAACGCGCTCAACATGAAGGGTTGGGGACTTAGCATCTGCTGAGCAGCAGACATGCTGCATCCTAAACTGTCCATCCCTGCACTTGTTGCCATAAGATCCCACCCCACCCTGGAAGCAAAAGCCATCTCCTGTGCTTCGTTATGAAGCAAGTCATATTCAGGGGCAGGGCTGGACTTAGGTTTGATGAGGCCCTAAGCTACGGAAGGTAATGGGGCCCTTTATATGTCCAACGGTCCTTTGTCAACAAGTTATGCTCTGGTTATCTCCCGCTTGGACTACTGCAATGCACTCTACGTGGGGCTACCTTTGAAGGTGACTCGGAAACTGCAATTAATCCAGAATGCGGCAGCTAGACTGGTGACTGGGAGTGGATGCTGAGACCATATAACACCGGTCCTGAAAGATCTTCATTGGCTCCCAGTACATTTCCGAGAACAATTCAAAGTGTTGGTGCTGACCTTTGAAGCCCTAAACAGCCTTGGACCAGTATACCCGAAGGAGCGTATACCTCCACTCCCATCATCCAGCCCAGACACTGAGGTCCAGCTCCAAGGGCCTTCTGGCGGTTCCCTCCCTGCGAGAAGTGAGGTTACAGGGAACCAGGCAGAGGGCCTTCTCAGTAGTGGCGCCTGCCCTGTGGAACGCCCTCCCAGCAGATGTCAAGGCAATAAACAACTATTTTACTTTTAAAAGACAACTGAAGGCGGCCCTGTTTAGGGAAGTTTTTTATGTCTGACGCTGTATGGTTTTTAATGCAGTGGTACCTCGGGTTAAGTACTTAATTTGTTCCGGAAGTCTGTTCTTAACCTGAAGCACCACTTTAGCTAATGGGGCCTCCTGATGCCGCTGCACCGCCGCTGCACAATTTCTGTTCTCATCCTGAAGCCAAGTTCTTAACCTGAGGTAATATTTCTGGGTTAGCGGAGTCTGTAACCTGAAGCATATGTAACCTGAAGCGTATGTAACCCGAGGTACCACTGTATACTGCTTTGGAACATGTGGGGTCCATTGAAACGTACATTTATCTGTACTAATCCCTGCCTTAATTCTGCCTAATCCCTGAAAAAGCCACATAATTTTGTGCTAGTGAAATTAAGGCCAGGAAGCAGTACGCACACACGAAAGCAGCGTGATAAACCACTTTTTTTTTGCACATCAAGATGTAGTTAGCAGCACAGGAGCAAAACCACTAAGAAAAAACTGTTTGGGGAAGCCCCTGTGGCTTTAACAGAAAGGCTGATCACCTGTGAGAAATGTCCCTAGTCATCTGCTGGAAAATGATTGTCAGCTGTTGATCCCTCAAGATCGACAGCTGCTGTTAAGGCACAAGAGCAAGACAGCCCTCTTTTATACGTGGTCAGTTGGCAACTCTCTTCAGGGACAGCGACGCAGGCAAAAGAAACTCAAAAAATGCAGGGAAACGCCTCTCTTAAAGCGACTCAAGACAAACCTTTATTCTGGGGGCAGAGGCTCCTGTGCGGTTGCAAGTAGTAAAAGAGAGAGTGAGAGTAGTCATAAGGAACCTGCTATTTATTACTTAACTAATAATATTAATAACAGTAATCTGAGTCACGAACTTCCCCAGGCGCCCCGCCCCTCCCTTCAGCCTTTGACTTCTTCGCCACTAGAGGGCGGGATTACTTTACTTTAGCCGGCGGGCTGGCACGGTTTCTAGCCGGCTGTGCAGAGAGAGCCAAGTTTGACAATACTTGTGCAAACACGTTTGAGCGTGCAATGTAACAAGTGCTCCTTCCTGCCTCCTTTTAAGGATGTGCATTTCTTCCCAGCCAGCCAGCCAGCCTGCAAAGCCTCTGGGCTGAATGTCCTATGCTTTGCAAAGGAACGGAGGATGCAAATCATTATTAGGGCTGATCCTTTTAATGGTGCTTCTGAAAGTTTCTTGCAAGATTCTGGAACAGGGCGGGCCTTTAGATCTGGATTATCGCTGCTTCTGCAGCCCCGCTTGCCCTATGCCCGTTTACTCGGAAGGAAGCCGCGCCAGTTTCAACGGGGCTTGCTTGCAGTTAAACGCCGCATGCTTAAAACCCTGCTGTCAGCTTCTCAAAAGCCCACCCTTTTGCTAATCTGAATTTCTCCCGCAGAAAGGGCTTGGCCAGGGGTTGTGGTCCGGCTTCCTTTAACAGCCCTATTCAGCTGAAAGGGTTGAGGAGATAACAGAATTAGAATGGCAAGTCTTTTTTAAGGGAGCATTTGATGCAGTCAGAGTCATTTAACAATGGCGTGTTTACACTTGAAACCCGATTTAATCTAACCCGAGTCGTCGCTTGGGGGCTCTCTCCGGAAAACTAATCTGATCAGGGCCTCGCCTTCATTAGCATGAGAAATCTTCCAAACCGGATTATTTGCACTTAAATCGGTTACTGGGCCCGAAGCAAATTTAATCACGCCAATGAAGGGACTCGATTGAGTTTAATACACAGTCCTCCACTAAAATGACACTGGACTCCTGTGTATGTTTACTCGGAAGTAAACCCCACAATGCCCAGTTTTTGGAGGGGAGGTGTTACTGCTAGGTTAGTGCGCAGTTTAAACCGATTTAAAATGTATGTTTAACAAAAGAATGGTTGCAGCCTGGGCTGTTGGGTTATCTGAAAGCGTTCTTGAGTGAACGGAGATTTAAAAGAATGTTGTGAACCTGCAACCTGCGCCCCCATCCGCCAAAACGCATGTGGATCTTTTTTTGGAGCGAGCTGCGAGGTGTGCTGCTTATTTCCCCTGATGAAATAGTGGAGCAATAATCCCCCGAGGTAATTTTTAATCCGAATTCTTTGGGCATCCGAACAACTTTTGAGAGTCTAGATTCAAACGGGCCGTGCTCCCCTCCTTCTTCTACCAACTCTTACATACACAGGTAAGCGTTGCTGAACTCAGTAACCTTCACCTCCCTCTCCTCGCATCGCCCCAAGTCAGCGCCCGGGAGCGACGCCAGATTCCCGAGTCTCGTGACATCTTCTGTCTTCATTGCCTCCCGGCCCTGCAAACTCTCGTGCTTTTTAAATACACGCTGAGATCCTCAGTCCTCCTTAAACTAGCGGGCTGCGGTTGTGCGCTGCAAATCCGGCGTTTTTACTCGGGAGTAAAAAAACCCCCACCGCACTTGCTTCGCAAACATGCAAAGGAGGTTTAGGATCCTTTCCAAATCTCTCCAGGGAACCCAACCGATTTAAGCGCAAAACGGCTTGCAGGAAAGCGTTCTTCCAAGCACACGCCCCGCCAGAATTTGCAGCAAATTGGGGCGAGGGGCGGCGTTTGCACTGCGAAGGCGTCGCTTCCGAAACGGATCTGCGAAGTCTTTTGGCTTGCACTCCCTAGTCGGAAGTGAGCCCCATTAAAACTCGACGGGGCTTTACTCCCAGGTAAAGAAGTGTGCAATGGAAAGCATTGCATGTTCGTCAAATTATCCACACAAGTGGCAAACCGCCAGCAGTGAGCTCTCTAGACGGATTATATCCCCCAAATAGCTTTTTTTTTTTTTTTTTTTTGCAGTGCGGAAGAAACCGAGGCGGATCCTGAACAAAACGCTCCCACACACCCCAAGAAGACAGAGTTTGTGTGCAGGTGTGTGTGTAAACATCAGCCAACGGCCGCCGACTAGACGGCACCGCGAGGCCCCGATCCCTTGCACGCCTTACTCGCAAGTAAGCCCCACTGATTCCAAAGGGGTAGCAAGCTTGCGCACCGGCCTTGCAGACGCCGGCTAAGGCGCACGGAAAAGCAAGCCAGCGCTGCTTCTCCGGGGAAGTGCAGGGGTGCGCGCGCGCGCGCAATATACACATATACACAACCCAGCAGCTCTGCAGGGCGCGCGGCTCGCTCGCCACTACACCTCCCGACTTTTACTATGTTTACTTCCGCCGGCCCCGTGCGGCGGGCGCGCGTAACGTAAAGAAAGAGGCGGCCGGGCTGAATTAAACCGGCCCAGCGTCAGCTGCTGCCGTTACCGCCCCTCCTCCCCGCGCCTTTAACGCAGTGCAGAGCGCGAGCTGCGGGCGCGCCTCTTGCAAAAGAAACCCCCCCTTCCTTCTCTCCCCATTGCTTTTTGCCAGCCCGAGACCCCTTCCCCAGTCGACCCCCCACTTCTGGCCGCCGGCTTCCGAGCCTTTCCCCGCCGCCACCCCCGGGTGGAGCGAGGGAGCGAGCGGGGAAGGCGGTACCCCCCCTCCCCTCTCCAAGACGCGCGTTTCCTCCTCCTCCTCGTCTCCTCCCAGCTCCTTGTTGCAGCCCGTATGCAAACCTCGGCTCCACAGTTGGCGGGAAAAAGGAGGCGGAGCGCTTAGCCCGGCAAACCTATAAAAGGCCTGGCGCGCTGGAGTCATCACTACTTTGCTTTCGCAGAGCCGAGGGGAGGGTCCGGCTCGGCTTGGGAAAGGTGCCGCCGCCGCTGCTGCCGCTACTACTACAATCTTACTACTGTTGCCGCCGCTGCCGCCGCCTTTGCGGGGAAGAAATAAATAAATAAATACCCCACCGAGGGCGCGCGCCTGTCCGCCGTCACCCCGCTGCGCGCGCCTCGGCGCGCCCCCCTTACCTATTCCTTCTCTTACATCCCAGGGCGCTGCTCCTTTTTTATATATAATTAAAGGCTTATTTTTTGGACTCTTGAAATCCAACGCGCACTACCAAGAACTCTTCGAACCCGGCTTGCTGCATCGCTCCCTGGGATTTACAACCGAGATCTTTGGACGGACTGCTTTTGCTTTTTTTTTTGCTTTTTGAGGGATTTACAAGGAAAGGGGGGGGGGCCGAGCAGATTGCCGTCCCCCACTTGGTGGCTTTTTTCTTTTTAAACCTGCGTTCGTTGGCTCCCCTTTTCTCATAGATATATCCGCAACGTCCCAAATAATCGACCCGCTGTCTTTTTTAGCCGGGACCTGGGAGGAACCGGTAAGTCCGGCTTATTATTATTATTATTATTATTCTGCCAGGATCTCTCTGGCTTGCTCTTTCTTGGTGCGTGTGGATTTTTTTTTGAGAGGCGGGATATCTGAATTTCGCTTAGGCGAAAGTGATCGGTTGTCTCCAGCGTGTCCGAGAGTAGCAGCCCGGCTCGCATTTTATTTATTCCTCTTTCAAAGGAGGCGGGCTCCCAGCGAGCTTTGAGAAGGGGGATTTTGCTGAAGAGCTAATTTTGCATTGTTAGTACTGTAGTGGACCTAGATTTCTTGGGGGAAGCGTCAAGATATACCGCTTCCTCTCCTGTTGAAGCTTTGCATTGAAATTGCATTTGCAAGCTGCTAGTAATTTGTTCTTGCGCTTCGCGCGTGGAGAGGTTGGGGTGGGGACCCAGTTTCAGGAAAATTGGGGGGGTCTCTCTTAATCCCCCGCCCGCCTGCCCCGGGGTGGAGAGGAGGGGAGGTTCATGTGTTGCGCGGTCCTAAGAGGACTCTTGCAGAAAGGTTGCTTCGAACCCGTTTTGGGAGGAAGGAAAAGGGAGACCTTAAGAGGAAACATTCCTCTTGGCGGACGCAGGATCCTTCGCCAGGGCGCCGCCTGGGTTAATACCCCCGGATATACTCCAGTGGGGCAGACGGGGGGAGGTACGACGGTACCTCGGGGCGCTTGTACTCCGAAGGGGCGGGGAGCCGGAGCGCCGCAGGCTCGTGGGGGCGGCAGGAGATGGGAGTGAATCCCAAGTGGATTTTTTTTTTTAAGGTGGCGCCGGTTCGAATCCCGGGGACTCTCGGATTGAGCCGGAGTACTCATTCACAGAGCAAATTTATGCGTGTCTCGTCGGGGGTGGGGGGTGGGTGCCTGACGGGGCCTCGCTTGGCGTGGGTGACACTAGATACCGGATCCTTTCCCCCCCCCCTGTGTCCGAGGTATAGGCTCGCAATGCATTGTGCGTTCGGGACGGCTCTCACCGCGCATTGCGATTTTCGGTGCGCGCCGACGGTGGGGGCTGCCTGGCGGCCGCGGGTGGGCGTTTTGCTTCGGAAAGGAGGCGGGAGCCGGGCTCTGGCAAGCCCGTTCCTCCTCCTCACGTCGAAGGCGCTTTAGCCGACGGGTAGCAGGGAACTCAACGAAGCCGCCTTATCAGCGTCGGAAGCGGAGGACGCGTTGCATTGAACTGAGCGGGGAAACCTGGCGAGGGTGTCGCCGTGCGCCCCGGCTCTACCAGCCGGGATGACCCTCGTTAACTTGGGGGGGCGCTGCCTTCCTGACTTGTCTCTTAGGTAACTCGTACTCCCCGCCCCCCATTTCCAGGCGTTCTCATGCGCCTCGACGGTTGTGCATGCAGACGCGGAGTAGTTAGTCCGGGTTACTTTACCCCGCTATTTTGTGTGCGTGTGTTTTGCGGAGTCAGTCGGAGAGGGGCATGCATGGGATCGGGGCCCCCGCAGCAGCCCACAGCTAACCGGTTCCCCGTCTTCTCCCCGCCCCTTTTAGGCACTGTCCCCAGCCACCATGCCTCTGACGGTGCCCAGCTTCAGCCGGGCATACGATTACGACTATGACTCGGTGCAGCCGTACTTCTACTTCGAAGACGAGGAGGAGAACTTCTACCTGACGGGGCACCACCGCGGCTGCGAGTTGCAGCCGCCCGCGCCGTCGGAGGACATCTGGAAGAAGTTCGAGCTGCTTCCCACGCCGCCTCTGTCGCCCAGCCGCCGCTCGAGCTGCTTCCCGTCCAGCGCCGACCAGCTGGAGATGGTGACGGAGCTGCTGGGCAGCGACGTGGTCAACCAGAGCTTCATCTGCGACCCGGGCGACGACGCCTTCGTCAAGTCCATCATCATCCAGGACTGCATGTGGAGCGGGGGCTCCACCGCCGCCAAGCTCCAGCAGGTCGTCTCCGAGAAGCTCGCCTCCTACCAGGCCGCCCGGAGGGACGGCGCGGCCGCGGCGCGCAGCGGCAGCCTCCCGCAGCCTTCCCCGACGGCGCCCGCCGCCGCTTCCTCCTCCTCGGCTTCCTCGTCCGCTGCCTCTTCCGCCGCCGCGTCTCCCAGCAGCGCCTACCTGCAAGACCTGGGCGCCACGGCTGCCGAGTGCATCGACCCGTCCGTCGTCTTTCCGTACCCGCTGAGCGAGAAGCCCCCCAAAGTTGAGGCCGCCTCCCCGGAGCCTAGCCCGGCTCCCTTGCTGGTTCAGGACACGCCGCCCACCACAAGCAGCAGCAGCGACTCTGGTGAGTAGCAGCGATACTGCCCCCTCTGGACATCCTTTCTTTTTTGGGGGGGGGGAGGTTAGTGCATTGACTGCAGTGACCCTAAATATGCAGGTGGGGGGGGTCCAGAGTTGGAGAGGAGGGCTGAGCAATTTGGGGGTGTGGGGGTGTGTGGAGAGCATGGCTAGACACTTGGTTAGGATTAGAAAGGCGTGAAATATTGGGTGTTTGCCAGTTTCCAAGCGGTTAGGGGAATTGGAAAGGGGGGGTGAAGCCACTTTCCTTTCGTGCAGACTGAAGGTTGCAGCCGGTGCTGGCCCTCCTCAGAGTAGACCCATTGAGATGAATGGAGGTGGCTGGCTTGGTTCCATTGATTTCATGGGGTCTGCTTTGAGGAGGGACCTAGCTGCATTCCACCCTCAGGCTGTTCCCACCCCCACACTGATCAAAGGTGTGCACTGCAAATCTCCCTGCAAAAGCATCTGCAGGCCCAAAGTTATCTGTTACCTCCTCCTGGCCCTCCTACAATCCCATCTCCAGCCAACTTCACCCAGGGCATATGAAGTGGTCAGCTGCCTTTTAGCAGGAAAAAAAGGTGCAATGAAGTCCTCATTCTAGCCATTCGTCATCCCTGGCCCCTCTTATTGGAGGGTTGTGTGTTTGTGAATGAATGTTCCCATTGTGCAGATGGGAACACTGATCCTGAGCCCTAAGACTTGGAAGGATTTGAAACCTAGAGATATGACTGTTAAGTCATAACTGCATCCTATCCAGGCTTAATAAACTGTGGAGGAGAGAGGAACAAACTCTTGCTCTGTGAAGTTAGGTTTGACTGTGATATTCAGTAGTGACATACATTTTAAAAGGAAAACTCTGTTCAGAGAATAAAAGGCCTTGACTCTCTCCTTTACCTGCTTTGCAAATGTTTTGGTATCGGGGACTTTCCCTGGAGGGGTGGCTGGCTGGGGAGAACAGCTAACACATTATTTTTTTCTGGGTTTGTTCACACTGGAACTTCTGTTAAACCTTTGAGATAGCTAAATCCTAATGGAATGCGTTGTATTTCTTTTCCGCCATGCACTGGCTGATAGGAATATCTTCGTCTTTCCTTCTCCCCCCCTCCCTTCCAATTTAAAAAAATAATAATTTCAAGTTCCTCCCCCTTCTAGCATATGTGTGTGTTCTCATCTCTTTTTCTCCTTCCATTTTTAAAAAATGCCACGTTAGCAACACACATGGCTGGGCTTCCCAGGAATTGAATTTCCTGGAGAAAGTCGACCAGGGAGGAATGGGGGAAAGGAGGCAGCCCCTGCTGCTTAGATTTCATAATGGGGTCAGGGCAGGTCGTTGGAGCGGGAATTTTAAACCCACGGGCTACCCTGCAATCAAATATATCTCCTACTTGTGTTTCCCATGTGGTGGTGGAGAGTAAACTGAGAGAGAGTTAGGGAGCGCAGTTCAACAGGTGCAGAGAAATTTCTGGGGTGGAGTAGGAGAAAGTTTTCAAGGTGCTCCGAAGAATCCCAGCCTGCGTGTTGTGTAAGCTTTTAAGGGCGCGGCTGCATCACCTTCAAGGCTGTCACTCTCCTGCCTTGAGCGCTTGCATCAACCTGTCCCAATTCTCACAGTGCATCTTTTCCCAACGCAAGCAGTCCTGACCTCCTGTAGGTACCAGGCTTGACATGTCATGTGTGAACAGGGCCGTTGGGGGCATGGCCAGCAGCAGCCGTTTTGGGGTGCTTTGCCAGGAATTCCTGCCTTCCCTAATGGGGATCCTCCTGTTCTTAAGATCTGTTAGTGGAGGCAAGCTAAGGGGGTTTCCTTCCGTGGGCAAAATGCTGAACCAAACGCTCGCCTTCTGTCTTTGGTGAACTGCTGTTCCAGAATTGTGCAATCCTGCAATTTCAACATAGGGAGATCTGAAAGCCAGGAGACAGTTAACAGTCCTCTGAGGAGTGCAATGCCATCTAAACAACCATCTTTCTTTTGTTGCATAACAAAATTACAGTTCCTAGCAAGAAGGGGAGAATGCAGACTTGCTCCTGAAAGCAGAGCAATATCCCGCCCCCCCGCCCCGGCTTGGTTTAAAGCAGGGTTTTCCCAGCTGTTTTTGGACTACAACTCCCATCATCCCTAGCTAGCAGGACCAGTGGTCATGGATGATGGGAATTGTAGTCCAAAAACAGCTGGGAGACTCCTGGTTTAAGAAGACGAACTCCCATCAGTCCAAGCCAATATGGCCAATGGCCAGGGATGATGGGAGTTGTAGTTCAGCAACTCTCCAACCTGTGAGTCAGGAATATTGAGCTGGGTGGAGCAAGGTTGTTACCACTGTTCTGGGGATAAGCCATGCAATATTGAGTAGATACTTCTGTTGCCTAAATCAGGGTTTCCCAAACTTGGACCCCCAGCTGTTTTTGGACTACAATTCCCATCATCCCTAGCTAGCAGGACCAGTGGTCATGGATGATGGGAGTTGTAGTCCAAAAACAGCTGGAAACACTGGTTTAACTTGTATAACTGTAAATAGGCTGTTGTTGTTTTAAAAAAACTTACCTTGTTTTTTCTTGTGTTTCTCTTTTCCCCCAGAAGAGGAAGAGGAGCAAGAAGAGGAAGAGGAGGAAGAAATTGATGTGGTTACAGTAGAGAAAAGGCAGCCCGCGTCGAGGAAATCGGAGTCCGGTACGCACAGGAAGCCCCACCACAGTCCCCTGGTCCTTAAGCGGTGTCACGTCCCCATCCACCAGCACAACTATGCTGCCCCTCCGTCCACCCGCGTCGAATACCCGTCCGCCAAGCGGCTAAAGTTGGACAGTGGCCGAGTCCTCAAACAGATCAGCAACAACCGCAAATGCTCAAGTCCGCGCACCTCGGACTCCGAAGAGAACGACAAGAGGAGGACGCACAACGTCTTGGAGCGCCAGCGGCGGAATGAGCTGAAGCTGAGCTTCTTCGCCTTGCGAGACCAGATCCCTGAAGTAGCCAACAACGAAAAGGCCCCGAAAGTCGTCATCCTCAAGAAGGCCACGGAGTACGTCTTGTCCATCCAGTCGGACGAGCATAGACTGTTAGCCGAAAAGGAACAACTGCGGAGGAGGCAGGAGCAGTTGAAAAGCAAACTCCAGCAGCTCAGGAACTCTTGTGTTTGAAAACAAAAACGGAAAAAAGGGGAGACATCGTGTAGATTGGGATGGACATTGATCGGGGGGGGGAGTATAAGAACTTTTGTGCTTTTTTAAAAAACAAAAACTATGTACTGATGGACTCAACAATGTGTGAAAAGCGGAATTGTTGCAATTGCATGCTCGACAACTACACAACCTTGGCCTGCCCTTGGTGTGGGGCTGGCCGGAACCTCAAAACTGCCTCTGAACTGATAAAACTTTGGGCAGGAATCTTCTTCATGCTTCTGGGGGATGAACATTTCCTCTTAACCTTTTTCTTTTTGTATTTAAAACGTCCCATCCCCCTCCTTCCTTTCTTAAGGTGATTTACAGGTGACGCAGAGTTCGTCACCGCATCTGTAAATATATTTACGCAGCCTAATGACCTGTACATATCTTTATTAAAAAAAAATCTTTATAGAAAAATTTAAAAGAAAAACCTGCAATGCTTAGTCGGTTGTGGCAACTGAATTTATAATTGTCTTGAACCTTTTCGTGCCATAACATTTCACAGAAACTTTTGGTCGTTTTTATTTAAGTATCTTTTTGTCATTTTTTTTAAAAAAAGAAAGAAAATGATTTTATTTTGTGTTTCTAGATAAATAAAATATTTGCCCTAAATTGTAAGCATCTGTGGCTTGCACGTTTTCCTTGGCCGTTGGATTTCTAAAGGTATAATTCCCAGGAAGTGCCGCAACAAGCGGCTTTTTAAAACTTGGGACTCCAGCTGTTTTTGGACTACAGTTCCCAACAACCCTGGCCGGCTAAGGATGATGGGAGTTGTAGTCCAAAAACAGGTGGGGATCCAGGTTTGAGAAACTCTGGTTTAAGCAATGGAAGTATCCGCTTAATTTAACCCTGGATAGCTCAGTTGGTTACAGCGTGGACTTGAATAATGCTAAGGTTGCGGGTTCGATTCCTGCATTGCAGGGGCTGAACTAGGTGATTCTCAGGGTCCTTTTCAACTCTACATTTCTATGATTCCATGTGGCTGAAAGCAGTGCCCTAATATTGCATGGCTGATCAGTGGTAATAGCTTCCTTAGAACATGGCTCCAACCAGCTCACTATTCTCAGCTCACAAGTTGGAGAGCCTTGTGGGCCCCCTCTCCAGATCTTTCTGAACTACAACTTCCATCATCCCTGACCAACGGCCATATTGGCTTGGGCTGGTGGGAGTTGGGATCCTCTGTCTAGATTTCCCATCCCTCGGTTCCACTGCCTGTGTGTCTTTGCAGCATCAGAAAATAAGCCCTTCCCAGTTTTACGTAAACCAGGCATGGCCAAAGTCCTTTTGGGCAGCCTAATCTGGCCCTCTGGTCGGTAAAAGCCTGGAAAAATGGTCAACAAGTTTGGTCGGCCCTCACAGCCCTTCACTTCATCAAATGTGGCCCTCTTTGAAAAAACGTTTGGGCACCACTGATGTAAACAATGGTTTCTGCAAGACCAGGCAGTGTGCGTTCCTGTATTTACACATCATTTGCATGCCGTTTCCAGCACGCTTCCAATTAAAAAAGATATATAGCAGGAAGTTATTATCCTGTCTGCTGTTATGCAAACCAGAACCTCACATACAATGTGTGTTCTTTATCCCTAGTGGACTGGTGTATTTTTTGGGGGAGGGCACCAACTGCCAAATGTTCACAGAGAAGAGGGGTTGGCTGCTAAACCACACCGTGATACAGACACGCCCAGCTTAGAAAAATGGCACCTGTAGAGGGGAACTTGCAATACATGATTTTTACCTGACTTGAGATTAGGAAAGTGCTACGTGACCGTTGCATCTCTGGCTGAGCCGAGGATGCTGGGAGTTTTAAGCTGGTGCAGGAAATTCCTCACTCAACCACAGATCCTAATCATCCCAATGCATCTTGTTATATGGTGATTCCCATAAAAAGGTATAATATACTCTCTTAATAATAATAAACGGACTTTAAAACAAAGGAGGAGGGTTCAGGGCTTGGGGTTACCATCCACCCAAAGCGACTGCCAGTTCCTGCTGTGTGTTCTTTTGATTCCAGGAATAATAATAATATTTATATGCCACCCCTCTGACTGGGTTACCCCCCAGCCACCCTGGGTGGCTTCCAACAAGTTAAAAGGGGACAGGAGAAACCATTAAACTCTGGCAGTGCACTGCATGATGAAGCCCGGAACCCGGGTTCAAACTGTGCACATGGATGTAGAATGTGTCTCTCTCCAGCTCTTGCTGAACTCCCAGCCCATGTTGCCAATAGTCAGGGATGATGGGAGTTGTAGTCTAGCAACTTCTTTAGGAGTAAGCAGTTAGCACGAGGCATGTGCATACTCAGAAGGGAGTCCCACGGAATGCAGTAGATGTTACAGCAAGCGTGCTTAGGATGGGGCTGAAGTTTTCCCAGTAAGTTTCCCTTCTTCATTTCACCCTTTTTGATCTGCAGAGAGGGATCTCTCTTCGTATAATAGCGTTTCTACCCGGCTGAAGGAAGGGACACTAGGAATCCCAAATAAATGAACAGTTTGGGAGGACTAACCTGTTCAACTGGTTCAGGTGGCCTGAGTCACCCCAGTAAATCAATTTAATTCTCTTGTACTTCAAATGAGAGAATGCTGCTGCTGCTTTTTAGGTGATTGAACTGCATCTGTGTGTGCTGTGGGGTAAAAAATATACGAACTGTTTCCATGGCAGTCATTCTACAGAGCTTTGCACGCTTGTTTATTTCTTCAGATGTCTAAACTGCTTAGTCACAAAGCTCTCCCTAAGTGTAAATAAAATGGTAGATAAGACAGCTAAAAGTCTTATCTAAATGAGTTTTATTATTAAACTATATTCGCTGTTAAAAGTGAATATGGGTTGATAATATGTCTAGGCTCACTGAAATTTTTAAAATAAATAAATCACCATACATCTAAAGCAATATAGATAAAAGGAGGGCTGCCTGTTGTCAAGTGGCAGGGAGTTCCAAAGCACAACTGCTGCCACATTAAGAGATCGGCACCTTGCAAATATTTGGACATTCCTCACAACAGCCCTGTGAGGTAGGTTAAGCTAAGAGATGGTGGCTGACTCCAGGGTTGACTGAGCTTCATGGCTGAGTGGGGATTCGAACCCTAGTCTCCCAGGTCACAGTAGAGCACTCTAAGCCAGGCTTCCTCAACCTCGGCCCTCCAGATGTTTTGAGACTACAATTCCCAGCATCCCTGACCACTGATCCTGCTAGCTAGGGAACATGGGAGTTGTAGGCCAAAAACATCTGGAGGGCTGAGGTTGAGGAAGCCTGCTCTAACCATTACGCCACACTGCCTCTCGTATAGAGGGGGCTCCTGCCTGCAGCAATGGAAGCAGAATGTATTCATCTGGTTAATAGCCATCATTTGCTGCTTTATTCTAATCTCCCACCTGAATCAGATCCCCAGCTTTGCTAATATAAAGAGAAGCACCTTTTTTTCCTTTCCATTTGTTCTCTGCTTCAAGGGGGAACTGTGTGTTCTGATGAATGCACACAGAAAAGGTGGGAAGAACCTTAGAGGTGCAGAGATCGTTTATTTATAAATACTGCTTTTCAGTCCAAAGGCCTTCAAAGCAGTGAGGAGCGTATTAAAACATAAACAGGCCAGGGGAAGTTGGATAAAATGTCGTGAAACCAACTGAATCAATTGAATGGACAGAAGAATGCTGTGGCCAATTTGGAAATGTCTAAAAACTTGGAGAGCAGCTGCCGATAATATTGAGCTGGATGGAGCAAAGATCTGGCTGCTGTCCCAAGAACCCAGAAAAAAACCCGGAAACCAGAACCAACAATGCAAAAAGAAAGTGCCCATCTGCACTATACATTTAAAGCAGTATCATACCGCTTCAAACAGTCAGGGCTTCCCCCAAATAATCCTGGGAACTACAGATTTTTAAGGGTGGCGCTGTGGGTTAAACCACAGAGCCTAGGGCTTGCTGATCAGAAGGTTGGTGGTTCAAATCCCCGCGATGGGGTGAGCTCCCGTTGCTCGGTCCCTGCTCCTGCCAACCTAGCAGTTCGAAAGCACGTCAAAGTGCAAGTAGATAAATAGGTACCACTCCGGCGGGAAGGTAAACGGCGTTTCCATGCACTGCTCTGGTTCACCAGAAGCGGCTTAGTCATGCTGGCCACATGATCCGGAAGCTGTACGCCGGCTCCCTCGGCCAATAAAGCGAGATGAGCGTCGCAACCCCAGTCGGTCACGACTGGATCTAATGGTCAGGGATCCCTTTACCTTTACCTTAAGAATGGTTAGCAGACACCCCCCCACACACACACTAGTTACAATTCTCAAAGGGGTTTAAGTGTCAATTCCTCTCCCTGGGGAACTCTGGGAAATAGGGGTCCCCTAACAACTCCCAGCACCCTTAAGAAACTAGCCAGGATTGTTTTGGGGATGCCATAACTGTTTAAAGTGGCATGGCGCTGCTTTAAATGTTTAGCACAGATGGGATTCAATCTGTTTCATGCGTTAAGATCAGGGGTCAGCAAACCTTTTCAGCAGGGGGCCGGTCCTCTGTTTCTCAGACCTTGTGAGGGGCCAGACTATTTTTTGAAGGAAAAAAATATGAACAAATTCCTATGCCCCACAAATAACCCAGAGATGCATTTTAAATAAAAGGACACATTCTACTCATGTAAAAACACCAGGCAGGCCCCACAAATAACCCAGAGATGCATTTTAAATAAAAGGACACATTCTACTCATGTAAAAACACGCTGATTGCCGGACCGTCCGCGGGCCGGATTTAGAAGGCAATTGGGTCGGATCCGGCCCCTGGGCCTTAGTTTGCCTACCCATGCCCTAACCTGCCTTGGTCCAGTATACCTGAAGGAGCATCTCCACCCCCATCGTTCTGCCTGGACACTGAGGTGCAGCTCCGAGGGCTTTCTGGAGGTTCCCTCCCTGCGAGAAGTGAGGTTACAGGGAACCAGGCAGAGGCCCTTCTCGGTAGTGGCACCCACCCTGTGGAACGCCCTCTCATCAGATGTCAAGCAAATAAGCTATCAGACTTTTAGAAGACATCTGAAGGCAGCCCTGTTTAGGGAAGTTTTTAATGTTTGATGTTTTGTTGTGTTTTTAATTCTGTTGGGAGCCGTCCAGAGCGGCTGGGGAAACCCAGCCAGATGTGTGGGGTATAAGTAATAAATTATTATTATTATTATTAGTGTGAGAAACACTTACGGTACTTTAAGCGGTAAGATCTCACCGGACATTGGATGAGGACAGTGGGAGATCTCATTTCAAATCTACAACCAGCCAGCCATAAAGCTTGGCAGGTAACCCTGGGCCTGTTACAATCTTCAGTCTCGCCTACCTCTCAGGGTTGTTGTGAAGATTAAATGGAAGCTGAGTAGGGCTGTGGCAAAGGATGGACAGAAGGGAAGAGGGTTAGGCAGAGCTGCTATGCTAGCTTCCCAGAAGGTGGGCTGCTGTTGCTCATTGCAGTGAGGAGAGGGGAGCTTGTGGGATGGTCAGCACAGTGCAAATGCACTGGCAGAGATAATCCTATGTTCCTGCTGGTGCAATCACACTGTGCCAACCGTCCCGTTGCCCCTTCACAGTTAGCAACTGCTAGCTACCTCCCAAACACTGATCATATGTGCACCCTTGGGGCAGTCCTGGCCAAGAGACATCCAACCCCAGGAACTGAATCACCAGGAAGATTATTTTGCAGAGATTTGCAATTCTTGCAACTGAATGCTAGAAGGGCAGGCTTCAACTGCTTCAGTTAACCACTGCATTGGCCAGGAAAGAAAGAAAAATCATGCGCACAAAGACGAAGGGAGCTGACTTCTAAATGTACAGACAATAAGTGGGACTCAGGGGGTGCCTTCGGCTTGGGGAAAGTGCAGGAAGGTATTGTATACATGCCACGCATTAGACATTAGATCTGGTATTCCTTAATTTCCAGATGGGGAAGCTGATGTGATGTCACTCCCT